AATCGGGAACTTCCTCTGGTGCCGGTGTTGCACAGCAGCGGGGGAAGCCCGGCGGTGTTCTGAGAGAAACGTGATTGTGCAAAATCCCGAAAGGCGACGGAGGGGAGGGAGCGTGCTTCGGCGAGGTCTGACACAGCGTGCGGAGGAGCGGGGGGGAGTGCTTTGTGGGGAAGCCTTTGCCGGCGACAGCTGCCACGGAGCGTGAGGTGAGTTTAATTATTTTCAAGCAACTGTTTTCGTTATGCTGGTTGTCACGTCAGCGTGCTATTGCGGACGGTTTTCATCTCGGGCCAAGATTTCTATTAAATACATCATCAGCTTGCTTTGTATACGGGTAGCACTGATTTCCATGGCATCTAGATGTTAAAGATTAAAAAATCTGTGAGTGTAATAGAGTATTAAAGCAGTATAATAATAGCGTGAATGCAAGTCGTCTTCATAAGCAACAGTTTTCGCCAGATAGCTAAGGTATGCAAATAAATTATCGAAATGTTTGAAGCATTTTTCTTGCACCGGTAAATTAATGTCAAACTGTGACGATGCGTTTAGTGACGCTGCCGCGAACTGCAGGGGTTTTTTAATTCCCTGCTGCTCTTTGCCGTTGTGTGCGACAGGCAGACATCTGTGAAATTGCATTTGGAACTGCAGTAGGGAACTGACTGGGCTGAAAAATAAATTAGAATACTTCTCATTTGGATCAGCTGCACATCCTGTTTCACCATACTCACCATACGACTGTGTGACAGGCACAGTTGGTGTGCAGGGAAGAATGTCTTTTTTTTTAAAGTGGTGCTAGCATACATGTATGGCAGACTGCCCTAAGAGTCAACCAAACTAGCTATTATAATCTTAAAAATGCATAATTGATATGCATTGTTGGCTGCAGGAGAAGTGTAAATAAGAAACCAGCGTACTGTGCTAGTTTTCTAAGCTATATTCACTTCATGTTTTAAGGTGTTGATAGCAACAAAGACAAGCATTTCTTTATAACCTGTGACTGAAGTAGATAATGTGCTCGGTGGCTGAGAGGAGCACAGAGTAGCCTCTGTCCTGTCTGCAAACAGTCCCCCTAATTTTAGTTGAACGTGTGAATAAAATGAAACTTAAAATGTCTACATAACTGAGGCCTGAGTTTTTTTCAGTTATGTTGCTGCAGGAAGAATAATTAGCTTTTAGTTTCAATTGGAATCCTTAACAATTAGGTTACTTATCAGTACAGAATAGTAAAAGACAGGGAAATGCAAACCGAGCATTTCTGTTGTTGCACACCCACACACACGATGGTTTATCCTCAGACAGAAAGAAGCAGCTCCTTGCCCAAATCTGCAATTCTAGAAGTAAATTCCTATGACTGTGTTTGAGGGGAATAGTTCCCAAGGTTGTATTTCCTCTAATAATCACAATTCTCAAGTTACTTTTCTGTCACTTACAAATTTAAGCATGTGTTCTCATAAGAAAATAGGTATTTATGACACATGGTTTGTTGTAACACTGGAATCCATTTTTCAGAAAATTAGCCTTTTAGGCATTTTGTTTGTTTGTTTCCTGTCCAGCAAGTTAGATTATTGTTTCTCTGGGGCTGGGAGGGGGGGAAGGGGGGCAGAGAAAGTACGTGAAAAGGACATTTAGATTATGGAGGCAAACATTTGGAAACTAGAAAGTGATGATCTCCACTAATTCTGCTTCTTTCTGTCTCTCTTGCTGTCTTGTCTTTTCCTGTCTTTTCCCCTTTGCTTTTGATAGGTAGCTTCATCTTCAACACCTTCTGGTGACAAATAGCAGACATAGCAGTATCTCACAGAAATGCTCTTTTCTGTTTGGATTTCTTTAGTCAGGTTGTTCAGAACATTGTGAGATCTGGTAAAACTTCACTTTGGGCTGCGCTTACTTTCATTATCACCGCATCATTCTGATGTAGCTATCCATGCAGGTCAGAAAGGCTGGGCAGGTGTGATGGGAGGGAGGAAACAGTTACTGCTGGTTTTGCTCCTTTTTCTTTGACTTCTGGGAAGATACACCAGCTAGTGAGGAGAAGGAGTTGAATTCAAGTCCGGTCTGTACTCCAGTCCTCTGGCTAGATGCAGATCTTTTCAGCATTATTCAACTGCTGAGTTACTTTTCAGCATATTGCTTAGCATAAGATAGCATAGGAAAATGTTAAGAGATTAAAAAAAGATGACGACAGGTTTACTAAATGCAGCATGCAGGTGTTCGACCCATATGTCTGCTTTTAGCTTTAGTTATACTGATAGTATGTTGTATGCCTGCACATTGTCGCATAGAAGACTGAGCGGGGAAAAAGAAATTACTTCAGGATTTCATGGCCAGGGGACAGAAGGCCTGCTTAGTCAGAGACCAGCCAGTGGATATATTTGTTGTTTTCTATAGAGTAGGGTAGCATTACATTATCAGGAGATGTATTTACTTACATTTCATCAAACAAGATTAAATTAGATACTGGATGTTAGCGGTATGGTAATGTGAGGACTCTAGACTAAATTAGTGTTCTTGCATTGATCTTCTGTTCTGAGAGAAGTTCCCATCAATGGAAGCCCTGAAACCTTCTTTGAAACATAATCTTTGAATTTATGTCGAATTTCCTTTGCTTACAAGCTAGCTACCCATTCCAGTAATTTCGAGGGGTTTTTTGGAGGAACTTCTTAGCTGAAATTTAAGTATCTGAGGTTTGTCCTCTTTGCTGTATGTTCTTTTCTCTTTCTTGCATAATCACTGATTTTGTACATCCAGATTTTTTTAAATGATGCTTCCATATCTTACAGTTTGTTGCACCATTTTTTTATTTCTGCGTTGTAAAAACATATTAAATTTATTTTCTGTGAGTACAAAAGTCTTGGCTTTTTGAGTGTATTCCTTGAGCTTTCACAGTTCCCGACTCTCATTTGGGGCCAGTGTTCACCCTCCAAGAGTTAGTATTAATATAGAGGATGTTTTGTGATTGAACTTTGATTATTCCCACCTAACTATCCATTGCAACAGTTGTCAGACAATAACGTGGTTTTGGCTTTCTATGGAATCATCTGCATTTTGTATGTACAAGTTAAATCTAAAGGGTGTAATCCTGCTCTCCTTTGAGACCTGTTGTACCAAAACCCTCAAGTTACTCTTGATATTTTAATGTATCTGTGTGTTCTCCAACTGGCATCCAAAATACCTTGTAAAGAAGGCTGATCAGGTTAGCTTAAAAACATACGAAAAATAAGACCAGAGACATAATATTAATAACTTACCATTGAAAATAGCCTGTGGCTAGGCAAATATTTGAGTTGTATCATAAAAATATTTAATAGAAGCTTACTGCTTATACCCACTTTATTTTCAAATAAAATAATACTTTTTTCCTGTAGGTAATATATCCTCCACATTCAAGACTCACAGATAAAGAGGTAAGTCATGGTTGCTGTATAACTATATAATTTGTTTTTAGTTTAGTAATTTCAGGAAATATAACTGCTTTCATTTTTCTTTTCCCCACCCTTTAGAAAACCAATATTTGCTATTTGTCTTTTCCAGATTCAAATTCAGGTAAGTGGTTCCTTCACTCTGCAGTCACCTGTTGTTGGACTAAGCTATGTTAAAAAAAGGTAGAGTTTGACAGTATAAATTAATGGTTTTAGACTAAATACTTATATGAATATCTTACTTGAAACTTTTCTGTGTTTTAATATTAAGATTAAGTATAAAACTGTAGTTGTGTGTATTGCAATGAGGTCAGAGAACTCTTTTTAAAATTACTATTTTATGTAAATGAAATATCAGGAATGTGAATGTATAAGACCTTCCAGATGACATACATGCAGATGTTTCGGAATACTTTGCAAGTAAAGAATTAACACCTTAATCTTGCTTTTAAAAAAAATTAATAATATTGTCATTGTAGAGAGAAGTGTAGGCACAGAATTTGAATGGTTCGGTAGAGCAAATCGAAGGGATATGGAACCATCCTGACATAAAGGAGTAAATGTATATTTCCTAAATTCATAACAGTGAAACTGACTTAAAAGTATTTAGAAAGAACAGTCGTGAAGGGAAAACCTAGGCTTATAGGTTGATGTTTCTGTTGCTGTGTGTGGTCCTGCTTGCTAAATTCTTCTTTCATCTAAACTTCTACTGTTCTGCTGCCAAAGAGAAATTGGAGGCATGTGGCTGATGACTTGGACCACCTGCAAAAAGATATGGCAGAAGTACAGACGCTTCTTTTCGCATTTATTTCTTTATGAAAATCAAAACCTGTAGTAACAGACTTGTCCCTATAACTGCTCTTACTCTGTGCTTTTGGTTGCTCTGCAGCGTAACAACTTTGATACGGGGTGAGGTGTGCCTTTAATATGTGTGTGAGCTCTCTCTTACATAATTTTACAAAATATCTTGGCTAATCTTCCTCCTTTGTCTTAATGTCATTAAAATTAAGATATTTTCTCTAAGAGCTTCTTTCTATTACTGATAGAGAAGATGAGTTAATTGTATCTTCTTAATACTTTTGTTAATACTTACAAATCTGTCCAACAATCAAAGGGCGTATTGAAGATCAAAAATAATGTGTTAGTTACAAAGACTGATTTTTTTTTAATTTTTTTTTTCCCAGTAAGAGTGGTATTTTAGGCAGAATTTTAGTTATTTTAGGCAGAATAAGTATAAAGAGGGTTTATCTTCAGCAGGAAAAAACACCCCACCTTTTTGCTTTTTATAATGTCCCTGTTAAGAACCTGTAGGTTCTTGATCGTTCCTGGTAGGCTGAAGTTTCCAATGATGTAGAGGAATTACCTACATAAAGCCTGCGTTCTAGAAACTAGCTGTTGAGTGTATGCTGGCTGTTATGATTTATTTTTATATTGTAGGCCGTAATATAAAAAGGAAAACTTTGTGTAACACATCAGTGAAGAAACTTATTAGCTTGCCACTAAATTTGAGGTCAGTCTTTCCTAGGTTTTCATTTTAATTCAACTTTTTTTTTCTTTTTTTTTTTTTTTTTAACAACTACAAATAGATACCATTCTAGGACTTGTAGTGGCTATGAATTTGGGGGGCGGGGGGAATGGATTTAATCGGGTACTAGGTCATGACACTTTTTGTGTTTTTAAGCTAAGTTTCCTAGTACAGTTACCTTTAAAATAATGCTTTTGCATTTTCTGCATGGACAGTTGAAGAAAGAATATACATTTACCAGTCTTTTCAAATTCTACATACTGGAATAGCTTATTACGTAAGAAGCCGTCATATTCTGAATGATATTTTGACATAATAATGATTAAGGGTAATTTACTTTTAGGTCTTCTGTGTATAGCTTTTTATAATAGCTTTTTTGGTTTTTGATGAAGGGAACTAGCTATGAAAACTTGGAGCAACTATTTAGTGCTTTATTATTGGCATGTGCTGTGTTTTTCTTATTATGATTGGATCCATATGGCTAAGTTGCTTTAGTTACCTGTTTGAATGGGATGGTTATCCCATCATACAATGTTTTGCTACTTTTGGTTTTGTCTTGGTGCATTGTGGGTTTCCTGCTGCAACTTCACGGGCTTCTAAGACTTGGACCTGAATGCTCTGAACATGCCGGTATTGATCTGCCCAGTCAGTGAATTTGACTGAGTGTTTTGGCTGTCTGTGGTTGCTGCAGCAGTAGGTATGTGGCTGAAAGAGAAGATGAAATTGAGCTTTTTAAGTCTGAAGAATAGTTACCTGTAGAATGGAGCTCTGCCTTACTCTTTAGTCAACTAGCACTGGCTGATGTGAGACGGGACAGCTGTGAAGAGTTCAGACGAACAGTAGTTCATGATTTTTTTTCTTCATGATTTTTTTTTCTTGGAGATCTTTGGAAGTTACATCCAAAAGCTATAAGAGCAAAGCACTAATGGAGAAGCAAGCTGGAAACCTACTACTATAACAGTAGCTATAAATTTAATAGTAGATTGGTTTTTACAGTCACTTACATGAACGTTTACATTGTTACAGTGACGACAGTCTTGTTTGCCACGAGTTGGCAATGCTCAGGAGGTTGTCTTTCAATTGATTGTGTTCGTGTTAATAGCACTGCATTGCGAAGGGACTATTTTAAAGGTTTGCTAGAATGAGTAATGTACCTGCATGTTCTTAAGATTCCAGCAGTCCCCCTTATCACTGTTCCCATGAACAGCATGTTCTGTTCAGCACATATAGCTTCTGCTTGAACTAACGGTTTTTTGGAGCTGCTTCTATTTTTAACAGCAGACAAAATTTGTAATGGCGAGAACAGCCATGAGAGTATGAGTAACACAAGTTCTGAGACTTTAGTTCTCATGTTCCACCTGGAGAAAGTTTCTTTGGTATCTGATACAAAATTAGCCCAAATTTGTTTTCAGACTGCAAGAAGTTAATATACTTACTTACATTTTTCTTTCGGAAATTAATTTTGATAGAAATGAAGGGAAACTTCACTCCTTGGGAGCATTACTGGGAAGTAATACTGAGTTTCACTCGGTTTTCTGCAGTTAGTTTTGCAACTTTCAAAAATACTGAGTCCTAGGCCTGCACATGGAGTTATAAGAGATCAGCATAATACACTCTTACGGTGGGACTTAGGTAGGAACTGTCTTGTGTCAAAAAAAGGCTAAGTGCAGTCATTCAATGGAGAAATGACACCTGGTTAAGATAATCAGAGCTGTACAGGCAGACCAGTAAAATGTGTAATAACAGTAGGAGGACAGCCATTAGTAGAGCTGTTTAAGGACATGACAGTTTAATAAACTCACTGTGAGGCAGAGTGACTTTTTTTTTTCCCTTGTTGAAGGTAGGCTATTTATTGTTGCCAAAGGTGCTATTTTATAAAAATATAAATGGTTGCAATAGCAGGGCACAATAGCAGTGCAAGGTAAATGAACCAAAACCATTTAACCTCTTTGGCTGTAGACAAGTCCTCATGTTAAACAAGATTCAAACTCAGAACACTGTCTATTTGTCGTTTATCTCTTCCCTCTATCTAGGTTGTCTTGGGGACACACAGTTTTGTTTTAGATTTCGACGGTCGTCTGGAAGGAAAGTCTCATTGTGTTGTTTTCTGGACCAATTGGATAGAGATCTACCGGTTTACTTAAAGGTTGGAAATAAGAAAAAATGAAGTTAATTTCTGCTGGGTAATGTTAATTTATGGGTCTTCATGCTTAAATTTAATGCTTGAAAAACAGAATCTCTGAACTGGATGTCCTGAAAGACAAAGCTGAGTAAATGTTTTTTTTTGTACCATGTAATTATCATAATAATTAACTAATAATTAGTTCCATTAACTATTCTTTAAGTTTTCTTGCTATGGGTTTTGGACTGTAGGGAAGTAAATCCATGAGCAGACAAATATTTTGTTACTGACTAGAAACCTGTAGATCAAATGTAAAACCTGTTACCTTACGGGAAATCTGAAGTGCTTCATAACTTAAAAAAAAAAACAAACACAAACAACAAAAACTTGATGTCTGTCTCTGTTTCCACCCTTCATTTTTTGAAGATGGAACAGTTATCTAAAAGAGAGAGTGGCCAAAAAGTTGTTCTCAGAATGTCCTTATGGAATATTGAGGTCTTTAACTATGCTAGTGGGAGTCTGATTCTTAAACTCAATTTTGATTTGTTTATGTGGCAAATACCTGAGTTCCTGTTTGTAGGAAGGATGAAGCTGACATTTTATCTTTGAAATGTGAGAGCATGTTTCCTTAATAGTCCAAGCATCTTCTATAAAACTAACACATTGAAAAACTAGTTTTTAGCTTTTCAAGTCAGGGCTTCAAGGTTTCTAACTGCTAAAATCTTTTTAGTGCTACTTTGGAAAATTGTGACTGTTGATTTATTCCTCAGGAAATTAATTCTGTTTTTGCTTTCATGGTGTGTCAGGAGAATGTACATACAAAAATAGTGAAGCTAGAAGGCACAGCTGTTTCCACACACTGGTGTTTTCTCTTTCAACTACTTAGTAAAAAAATAATGCCAATAAACAGAGTAGTCCTTATAGTTTATTTTAATCAACTTTGGAGCTTGCAGGGAAATAAGCTTTTAAAATGCATATCGAATGCTTCGGAAAGAAGGGCATTTATCAGATTTTTGTCTTGAATTCTTTCCTTTCTTTTGCAGAAAGATCCAGCATATTACTATGGCTATGTATATTTCAGACAAGTTCGAGACAAATCATTAAAAAGAGGCTACTTCCAGAAGGTGATTTCAGTTCTTTTAGGAAAATATTAATTGGGAAATTAATTATTTTTCAGTGACCTCAGAGGAGCAGGAAGAGTATCTTGCTCTCTTAACTAAATTCATTGTTGATCTATAGTAGGTTGGTCTAATTTTACATCATCTATGCTATGTTACAGCTGCACGGTCAGAACAAATTTTTTTTTTGTGTTAAAAATGAAAAGATGGGAACTTCTGGGAGTTGTTTGTTTGCAGTTGCCTGTAGTCAAATGTGTGGTTGGCTTGCATGTGTGAGAAGAATCACACTTGACATACTCTGATGATAACCAGTAGAACTGAGGGAAAGGGTTAACTTTAAATTATATTTTTGTTTTGTTACTCTTTATTCCAGTCACTGGTCCTCATTAGCAAACTACCGTATGTCCATCTCTTCCGCACCATGCTTAAGCAAATAGCACCAGAATACTTTGAAAAAAGTGAAGCTTTCCTGGAAGCAGGTAGTGGTACTATTATGTTGTTCTGGAAGAGCACCTATATTATGACTTATTTCTTTTGGAGAAATAACAAACAACACTGTCACATTCTAGTTTGCATTTCTGTCTTTTTGCAGGGTGGAGGGTTGAACTTGAGCAAACTGGCTTGAGTTCTAAATCACTGAACAGAACTAATCTACGGTTAGACTCGATGATCTTAAAGGTCTTCTCCAACCTAAATGATTCTATGATTCTAATTTTGCATCCTCCCTGGGAGAGTTGTAGCTCTCCCCTAAAACATCTAGGATTTTGTTGTATGTTACAGGACCAGTTGTTCTGCACAGGTAGCTGATGGCAATTCTTAATTCGCACTCTTCACAAATCAAGTCCTTTTGGACATTCTGACAACTTCTGTTAAGCAACTGTACAAATGTCATCTTGAGTGCGGGGTATTTTGTGTGGGGTTTTTTTTACCAAAGAGAAAAGGCAACAGAGCAGCCCTGATGACAGATGCTTCAGCCTTACTGTAGAACTTTTAAGAGCCAGAAGGTCAAATGGGAAAATTATTTGCTCTTTGCCTGGAAGTGCTGTGTTCTTTTGTACTGTCTCTGCCCTGTACAGCATCCGTGTCTTTGTACTTACACTGGACAGCAATTTGTAGAAACCACTCTTGATGAAAGAATTGTATTTTTTAATCACTTGTAGATAAACTTTTGTTTTTTAACAGGCTGTGTTATGAACAAAGTAAGGTCTGCAGAAACCACTAGGATTAGTAGTCATATAATTGTTTACAACAAAATGCTGAAAATCATTCTGGCTTGGCTAGAAAGCTAGCTTTTCCCGCAACAGTGTTTATCTGTTCTACAGTAGCTAATGTACATAAATGTGTGTGCTCTTTTCAAAGTTTCTTGATACATGCTTTCATGGTTTCTCACATAATGATTCACCAACTAATGTGAGCCTAAATTGTTACAAGAAATGGAAGACAAGAGGGTGCTGTTTTCTTGAAATGAAAACCCTTATAGTTCTAACAAAGTAATACATCAAGAATGTCAAAAAGGCTGTAAAACTTTAGAGTATAGAGTGATCATGAGATTTGTGGGCTATCAGCACTAATTTAAAATTGCAATGTGTACAAAGGTGACTACAATATCATGGGTTATAGCATATATACACTAGTTCTAAATGAATACTTTTTTTTTTCTTCTTTAAGTTTGTAGTGATGTTGATCGTTGGCCACCACCAATTCCAGGGAAAATACTGCATTTGCCTATTATGGGTATTATAATGAAGGTAAATACTCCTACACTTACTTTTCTCTGAGGGTTTTTTTCCCTCTGCTTACTGTATAGATACTCACTGTATTGTGCCTTGTTTTCAGTGTCTCGTACTTCAGGACAGGAATAGATGTATGCTCCACTCAGAGTGAAGGTCGAGGAGATCTTCATTAGGTTACTTGATTGGGGGAAGGAGGGAAGGATCTTTTATGAGGCATAGGTTAATATGTAATTTTTTTAGATATTAAAAAGAAGTGTTTCAGTACAACTACCAATTGCAGTGTCTGTGTTATCATTCTGGAATATGCATTCTAGGAGACTTTAATGCTACTTGTATTTGTCATATCAAACATTAAGTAACACTTCAAATACCAAGAGATAAGTTCCAGTCAAGCAAATTAAATACAATGATGAAAATCATTCTTGTTCCTCAAGTTTGGTAAGTAAAAATCTTTTTTGGCCCACAGACCAGAGATTAATCTCTTGATCTGTTGATAATTTTCAAAGAAAGTGAAATACTTTTGAAGAAAGCTATTAGAGAAGTTACATCTAGTGCATGGGGAGGAACTGTAGAGGTTAAATGGTGGCTAAGAACTGGACCTCTGGGAGCCATAACATCTTCATATGAAATTCAATTAAATAGATTTGATGGATCGAGATATTACAGTTGGAAGTATATTCTTAGCAGATACTCTCAAATTTATGGCTAGATGCATGTGTTTCACCACGGAGAGGAAGGAGAAGTTTCTGAAAGTGTTCTGAAAGCACAAATTTAATAAAGCAGTGTTCTGAATGCTGGATGGTGATGACAAGTGTCAGATAGATCTTGTTTGGGTATTGTCTGCATTTATCTCATGGGTAATTCTTAGCCATGAGAGTTGAAATTGCGTTCCTAAGCTGAATGAAGCCGTAATTACCATCTTCAGTGGTATTGTCCCTGTTCTTTTCCACTGTTTGGGCAGTCAGTTTTAATTGTTGTGTATATATTACATCCATTTGTGCACACCAGCTTCCAATATGGTTAACTTTGTAGTACTGAAGACTTACAGATGCAGACTGTGAGGTCAGAAAAAGATATTTATGTTGTTCAGTAGATTTGGATTGTGCCTCATACCCACAGGATGTTTTAGGAGAGTATTTTCCCTAAAAGTAAGGTTATGGGGTTTTAAGGTGGTACAGAATTATTTCAGATCATTCTCTCCAACATATAAACATGTTTTAATTGAAATTATTGTAATAGTTGTGGGTAGTGTTATCAATAGTCTTTAACTGGATTATAGTTTTCATACTCTTAACATTCAGTTTGCAATGCAGTACTACATAGTATTGCATATTGATTCTTGTGGCAATCGCCTGTAGTCTTCAGCTATGTATTCACTGTTATGTGGATGTTATGTAGAGTAAGTTAAGCATCATACTGTAGTATATCCTCTTTAAATGTTACATCTTGTCTGTAAGTCAGCATTGGAAGTCTCTGTTGAATTCGATACAAGGTGAAAAAATTTGTCTCTTTCTTCCAAAGTTGCGGATTCCAACATATCGTGACAAGGCTGGAACAACACCTATAGTACAGAATATGCACCAGGTAGAGATTAGATACTTCTATCGTATATAACCCCAAGATAAAGCTAAGTACCTGCCTTCATTCTTTTACTTTAAACTTGTTCATGAAAGATTCGTAGCAAATCCTCGTACACTTCAATAATCATGAAATCCCCAGTCTTTGAAACTTGGAATGGAGGAGTCTAGCATTGGATTCTTCACAGAAAAGGTATTCTAACCCAGTTACCCCGGGTACTTTAGGAACGGATTGTCCAGCTCCTGGAAGAGGGTAGTTGGCTGACAGAATTACTGGACTTGAACCTTTAATGGGTGAAACTATACTAAACTAGTTTTTTATGAGGATGAAAACCAAATTAAAAACCTTTAGCCACAGAAGACTGATATAAACCAAATCTTTCTGTGCCTTCATGTGCTGCGTGGCCATTGTTTAAAACAGCTTCAGTATTTTGTTTCTTTTCTGGACTGAAAGTCGCATGCCTCTAAGTGGGGTGTGTGTGTGTTGGGGGAAATCTTGCGTTTAGCATGCAAAAATAGTTACTTGTGGAGATAATGTGGTACATACTGCAGTAGTATAGTAGTGGTAAATAATTAGGGTATATTCCATCTACTGTCTGTAGGCATTTAAGGGAAACTATTTCATTTAATACCTACGTATTCTGATGACTAAAAAACAAGCATTGCAATGTCTTTTAGGCAGATGCTCAGATCTCCATGTCTTTACCGACTGTTCATGAAGTAGATCTTTTCAGGTAGGACTTTGGACTGATTGATACCTTGTTGTGAATTCCCAAAAGTCAAAAGGTTTAGGACAGTTCTATAACACGTATCTCATAGCTTGCAAGCTAACATTTATCAGTATTGTTTTTAATATTCTTTTTCTGTAAAGCTGTCTAAAAAACAATTCAGACAATATGCAGGCTGAAACTGCAATAAGCAAGCAAGTTTATTAAATGCTCCGTTTTACAAGATTTTTATATTATGTATTTTATATTTTTCAAACTACTGTTAAGTACTACCGCAAAATTCCTTTTTATCCAGTTCTTAATCAAATATGTATTTTTTTTTTTCTGGTTATGTTAAGTGTATTAAAATACCTCAATCTATTTTTAGGTGTTTCTGTCCAGTCTTCTTTCACATCCAGATGCTTTGGGAACTAGTACTTCTAGGAGAACCACTTGTCGTGATGGCACCATCCCCGTCAGAATCTTCAGAAACAGTGTTGGCACTTGTTAGGTAAATGTAGTGGAACTTCCTAAATAATGACCAAGTGAGTCATTGTAGATTGCAGCTGAGTGCAGCTTAATCCTTTGTTGCATTCAGATAGAATTACAAATTCTAGATTTGCTTGTTTCTTTAATGAAATTTTGTTCTGTATACATAAAACAAGCTTATCCTCTTTCTACCTTGTAGTTGTATTTCACCATTAAAGTACTGCAGTGATTTCAGGCCATACTTTACCATCCACGACAGTGAATTCAAAGAATATACAACTCGCACACAAGCCCCGTGAGTAAATCAAACTTTGTTGTTGAAGATATTGCTCACAGCCGCTCGTAACCATAGATCTGATTTAAGACACTGCTTAACTACTCTGAATTTCTATCATTGGAGAATATATTTAGGCTCCTTATTTAGAAGATTTGAAGTTTTTCACTCCAGTTTGATAGGATAAAGAAGTTACAAAACAATGTCATAATTAAACTACATTTAAGCTTCATAGGATACTTGCGTACAAAGTAAAACTGCAAATATGAAAGTGGGAGAAAGTTTTGCTTTTCAGTAAGGGTTTGTCTGTGCAATACCAGTTCCATAGTAGCTCCTTGGAAAGTTGTTCTGTAATTGTTTTTATTTTTAAACAATTACTAAACAAAGTGGCTTCTAGAATTCAACATCCATACAGCTGTTTTGTAAAGTTAATCCAGTCAGTGTCCTAGCTGAGACAATAATTGAAAATATCTCTTTGCTAAATCTGTTAGAAAAATGTTGTAAATAATTCAGAAATTAAGATTCATTTTTTAAGAGCATGAGTCTACAAAAACAATTCTGTTTGAAACTGCTTTAAGGACATACTTTTCACCTTTTTTTTTTTTTTTTTTAATCCTACTCTTATTTTGAGAGCATACACCTCCACTATTTCTTATTATATGTTATTTAAATGCAACTTGATTTGGGAGGGGAGTGTATGTGTTAGGTTCACTGATCTTTTTATAAACAATTTTTTTCTAATGTCTGAACAGGCGGTGGTGGTTGTGATGAGGTTTTTTGGGGGGTTTTTTTGTTGTTTTCTTTACTGTATTTTCTCTCTCAACGGAAGTATTGCCAGAGATACAGCAGTGGAAAAACATACAAACGCAGGCATTATGTTTCAGATTGTATTCCATGGGAATAGTCATGCAGTATGTAATTTAGTTTCTAAAAATGATTCCATGAAGAATTTGGTTAAACTTTAGTAACCCATGTTTAAAAATGGCATCTGCTCCTCTGTAGCAAAATAGAAAGGTTGTTCAGTACATCCTTGATTCTGTGTAAGCAGTACTCCACAGTGACAATAACAAAAACAACCCCGTATTATCAACACTGTTTTCAGCACAAATCCAAAACATAGCCCCATAGTAGCTTCCATAAAGAAAATTAACTCTATCCCAACCAAAACCAACACAGTATTTGAAAAGGAGGTAGAATTGCTCTGGCTTTCTTAGAGAAAACAAAAAAATTGGAAAGAATGGAAGTAGGCTTTTAAAGAAGTCGCTCTAAGAAGGGGAAGAATCCAGATTATGCAGATTCTGTGTATTTTATTACCTTTAGCAAGAGGGGAGAAAGGAGTATTTCCTACCTTGATGTTTTGATTTATCATGCCTTTTCGTAAAATACTTCAGTGTCTTAAAATCGACTTTGGTTCTGGTAAGTATGATAGATCACAGCTCCTAAAAGTGACCAAGTAGCTTACCAAGTCTTGCTGTTATATCACCAGTAACAATGAAACAAGTTTCCTCATGATTTGCTACCAGTTTACCTTGACCTGGAGAATTATTATTTTTTTGAGGGGTGGGGTGTGTGTGTGTGTGTGTAAATGAAAGCCTTACTTGACTTTAACCCTTGGTCTTTAACCCTTCAGTTGGTGAAAGAATGTCAATTTTTGTACACTGGTCCAAACCAATTGCATGTGAAACTTGCCTTTTGCTTTACACAAAATAGTCATGGTAAGATTTAATAGTTGTGTTAAGTTAGGCTAGGCTTGAGCCATTCCTAGGGAGAAGGAGAGAGCCTATTGTTTGGGTTCTTTTGAGCTCAGTTTGTTTCTTATGTTGATTATTCCGACATGACCATGAAAAGAACGTAAGATAAAACGTCATAAATTGATTTTTCAGAGTACAACAAAGGAATCTGTTGAGACTTTTTTACAGACACTGGCCTTCATAATTATTTTGGAAGAGAGACTGTAAATCATGTCTGGTAATGCTGAAAAATACACAACATCTGCAAATCCCAATGAATGTAAATCAGTAATGCAAATGATTTTAACAGGATTATAGAAACAGCAAAAAATGATGTAACTGAATTCAAATGAGTGGAGAAAAGTATAAAATATAATCTGGAATAAAATGTTTTCAGGTAAACATACTTGAACAGCAGTAGGACTCGGAAGGAGTGATTTTTCTGGTGAAGGTTGAGTCAGTGACAAGAAAGAAAAGACTTCTGAGAAACTGATACAATTTTGTGCTGTTCATTCTGAGATGGAATGGAGAGCTGAAAATTGCTATTTCCATAGCCCAGGCATTATACTAAGCTACAGAACTGCGATCAGATTTTTGTCCTACCTGTAAATACCTAATGGGTTTATTTTTAGATATATGTGTGTGTGTGTGTAGTTATAATTAGCAAGTGGAAAGAGGAATGGAAGTCAGAAATGTTTGTAGGTTAACATAGAAATTGATGCCATGATATAGCTGGAAGAATTGAATAAAAATTTGAAGAAAGTATGTAGTATTTTTCTCCCCATCTTGCCTTGAGAAGCAGGAAACATGAGGATAGTGTACAGAAAGTGTTAAAATTTGGATTCTTAAAACCAATCTGAAGAAATGATGATAACCTATTCTTAATATGGTAGTTCCAATGAAGCTTGCAGTTATACTCTCTTCTTAGCTAATGTTTGCCTGTAAAGTGGATGGCAGCCAGTATTCTAAACACATGTTGATATTTCATCATATTAGTGCCGTAACTCCCAAATTCTGCAGCCTGTGCTGTAGCAGCAGCTTTTGCTCTTACTGCCTCTTGTGCTCTGCGTGCCCCTGTGCATCCTCAAAGCCAGATGCTAAGCACAGGGTAGACAAAAACCTGACAGGTTGTGACCTTGGGCACAATGCTATTAATGTGCTTGTACTTCATCACTTGATAACTGTTTTTAACAAAGAATGCTAAAGTGTTGGAAAGGAAATAGGATATAAGTGTCTCCTTTTCTTAATCATGTCACCTGAGCAGTAGCTCTACTGAAAAGTCTCGTAAAAACAGCAGTCGTGTTGACATGCCCATTGAAATACTGAGAGTTTGTTATAGTCAAACCTTGAAAAGTAGCAATTTGTCTTTCAAATATGAGTTAGATTCTTGCTCATTTAAAAAAAAAAAATCGGGTAATACCCTGTTCTCATCATTGCAAAGGGACAGAATTTAGCCAAGAGCCTAAGCAGATGTCCCTTTTACTCTCCACTACCATTTGGACTTCAAGATGCATCTGTCTTGCTATTTTCTAAAACTTAAAAACTTTGATAAATATACTGTGCTCTTACATGGAACTTAAAATGTAATTCGTAAATACAAAAGGAATATAATTTCAAGTTAAGAATTAAAGTTGACCTTTTCTATTCATTAGGACAGAAGCTCTTACTGTCGTATTTTAAACATTGTCATTATTTTTCTAGACCATCTGTCATCTTAGGGGTGACGAATCCTTTTTTTGCTAAAACACTTCAGCACTGGCCTCACATTATCCGAATTGGAGATATTAAACTTCCAGGTAAAGTACAAATATCTTCTACAATTCTGTGCAACAAGATCTAACTGTGTGTTTATTTACAAACGTATGGAACTTAGTTCTATTAATTTAGTTTAATACTAACCAAATCCTCACGGACGTAAATCTGTCAAGTGAAATTAGGCTCTTGAGTACTGTATGTCTTGTATTGCCAAATGTAGTATACTAAATGCAAAAGGTGGCAATACTCATTAGTAATAATGTTTAACTTTCGTGCAATCCCATTTTTGTATCTCTACCAGTAAGGTATTAAAATGAGAAGCATCATTTATTACTGATGTTAGTTTTAGGATGAGTAGAATGTACTAAATCAGTCACAGCAAGTGCACAGAAAGTAAAACCCATGTGAAAGCTAAGCTTGAGTGTTACAATAATATAAAAAGTTGTTTATTGACAGTACTTCGATAATGTATTTCTAACCTGGCAATATTCCAGTGATTATTAATTGTTCAAGTTGGATGATTTCCTTAACATGATTGAGTAGAATTTTAAGGTAATCTTTGGATAACATGCCAATTGCTAGCCTGTAATTAAATACTGCAGAACTCTATTATGTGACATTCCTGAATGCAGCTGTTTGCTGTGACAGGTTCACTGTTCTGTTCTGAAAGTGGGAATGCATAAATATCCATTTAGGATATTACACCGTGAAATTCATTTTTGTAGAATAAGTTACATTCAATTTCTGAATACACCAAATTTAATTAAGGATTATGCACCGTGTTCAGTATAATTAGGCAAGGTTTTGCTTTACTTTAAATTAGCATGGCTGTCCATGCTTCAGAATACGTGTGGGGGTTTGAGGTTGTGTGGGGAGGAGTTAGCTAGCTGCTGTGTAGTTAAGATTTGGAAAATAGAATCTTAAACTATTAAACCTCTGCAAAGGCATATAGACAGATTGCCTTCAAATTTGATACACAGTTTCAAGTATGAAATTCTAAAGTTTTGGTGCAGCTATGTGAAATGCTTAGTCAGGAATTTCTAGAGATATATCTGTCTGACCTGCCTTTAAAGATTTAAATGTTAGTTTTTTAGGGACAAAGAGAGGTCTTGTGATTTTGTTGTTGTTTGGTTGTTGTCTTCTTTTTATTTTCCTTTTCTCCCCACTCTGCAGTTTCAGTAGCAATTTATATTATTATCTTTTCTGAAGTCAAACAGTCAACTAGATCTAAGAGGAAGGTTATGCTGAGGCTGCAAGATTGTTAACAGGGTTTAGGGTCTTCTGGCTGAAGGAGTATATATTTGCAAAAAAAAAAAAAACTCACGACTTAGTTTGGCCTACGGAAAAGAAGTCATTTTCTTACAATACTTAATCCATGGGTACTTTTTTAATTTCTTATATACAGTTTTTATTTTGGCCAAGGTACTTAAAGATTTCTTCCTGAAAGTATTTACCCTAAAGGGAATAAAGGAAGATGGAATAAAATTTGAAAGTAATGAAACAGTACTTCACTGCTGTGTAGTCAGTATTTTTCTTTGGCTGCTTTGATTCAGAAGGATGTCCTTTTGGTTTTTTTGGTTTGTTTTGTCCCCCCTTCCTCTTTTCTCTTTTCAACAGGGAACCCTAATATAAAGTGAAAAGCCTGTAGGCTGTTATTTATATGTTTACTGGATGTTTCTGGGTACTTAGATGCTTGTTGGTGTTTCTAATGCTTCTTACAGTATTAGATAGTCTTGTAAATGGAAGTATCCATTTCTAAAATTCAGTGCAATGTATAGCACATTAATTGTAGTATCTAGTAATAGGGATGGAGATTTCAAGTAAGGTGGCTTTAAATGTTTTGGCAGGTGAAGTTCCAAAGCAGGTGAAAGTGAAAAAGCTGAAGAACCTAAAAACTCTGGACTCCAAACCTGGTAATAAGTTGCTTCAGAGTTAAATTACCAGTATTTTAATTTTAAAAAGCATACCCCATTTTTCCTTTGTGCTGCTTTTTTCCTTTAGGTGTTTATACCTCTTACAAGCCATACTTGAACAAAGATGAAGAAATCATTAAACAGTTACAAAAGGTAATACTGCAAGTCTCTTCTTAGGGGAAATTGTTTTGTGTACTCTTGTATGGTGTTTTCATTTAAGGCCGAGCTCTGTCTAACTGAAATGAAACTGGATTCTGATTCCTTTGCTCCAGTTCAGAACTGAATAGATAGGTGAACACCTTCATTGTAGAAGAAGGGCTGCTGCGTTGTTAGCAGTTTCTATAAGAACATGACTGGTGGAACTCAAGAAGTTAGCTTAACAATTTAGAGAATTGAAGTGATTGATCAGTTCATCTGGTTTGGATTTTCCACCCTGTGTCATCCCCCTCTAGTCTCTTTGGTCTAGAAATCTTACACGAGGTGTTTAAGAATCAGAGCTTCCAAACTTTAACTGATTTGCACAAGTTTGTTTATAGAAATTTTTCTTTCCTTGAATTTCTTTACATGAAAATGAAAAAACATCAGCAATTGAAGGGATGAATATCTGTGCAAAAGGACTCGATGCTATTGCTTTCCTTTCATGGTTCAGGTTAGGGGGTGCTAAGTGTGAGCTTAGGGCAAATGGATACAGAAACACTGGAATAAATAATCTTAAAAAAACCCACAACTACTTACATATTTTGGGGTAACAGACTTATTGTGATATTTATATCTTTTTTTTTTTAAGGGTGTACAACAGAAACGTCCTACAGAAGCACAGAGTGTGATTCTTCGGCGGTATTTTTTGGAATTGACAGAAAGTTTCATTATTCCCTTAGTGAGTTCCTAGATGAATGGGTTTTTTACATATGTAATATGGAGTAGCTTTTTTGGTGTTAGCTTGACTAAGTCTAGTAACTATCCAGTATCTAGCAGTGTACCCCTGGGGTGAACACTGGGTCTAATCCTGTTCAACATCTCTGTTAGTGAACTGGATGATGGGGCAGTGTGTACCCTCAGCAAGTTTGCTGAGGGTCCAAAAACTGGGAGGGGTGGCTGGTTGGAGGGACCTTTAACAGGCTGGAGAAATGGGCTGACAGGAACCTCATGCAGTTCAGCGAAGAGAAGTGCGAAGTCCTGCACCTGAGGAGGAATAAACCTATGCAGTGGTATGTACTGAGGGCTGTCAGGCTGGAAGGCAGCTTTGCAGGAAAGGATCTGGGGGTCCTAATGGACATGAAGCTGAACATCAGCCAGCAATATGCCCTCGAAGCAAAGAAGGCGAGTTGCTTCCTGGACTGCATTAGGAGGGGTGTTGCCAGCAGGTTGAGGGAGGTGATCCCCTATGGTGAGGCCATACCTGGAGTATTGTGTCCTGTTCTGGGCTCCCCAGTACCAGAGAGGGATGGAGCTACTGGACAGAGTCCAGTGAGGGCCACTAAATTTAATGATTGAGGGGCTGGGGTGTCTTTCATATGAGGAAAGGCTGAGAGAGTTGGGACTGTTTAGCCTAGGGAAGAGAAGGTTCTGGGGGGGATCTCATCAATGTATATAAATATCTGAAAGGAGGATGTAAAGATGCATCCAGGTTCCTTTCAGTGGTGCTCAGTGACAGGATAAGAGGCAACGGGCACAAACTGAAACACAGGAAGGCCTGTCAGCCATCAGGAAACACTTTTTTACTGTGAGGGTGACTGAGCACTGGAACAGGTTAGGTTGTCCAGAGAGGTTGTAGAGTCGCTGTCCTTGGAGATGCTAAAAAAAGACCTCTGGGCATAGTCCTGGGCAGCCTACAAGTATGCTTGGGCGGGGGGGGGGTGCGGAGGGGAGGAAGACCCAGGTGACCACCAGATGTCCCTTCCAACCTGAACCATTTTGTGATTCTGTGAATAATATTTGAGCTACAGAAATTTACCATTAAGCTATGTCTTGACTTTTTAAAATACTGTAGTCTTACATTTCTTTAACTACCATACTTAGCATAAAAATGAAGGCCATAGTTTGATGTCAAAAATGAAACATTTATTTACCTAAACAAAAGGTTCAGATCTCAAAAAGGAATGCTTCTTTGTACATGTTGCTAGACAGCATTTTCAGGTGTTTGCTGCATGTGTATTTTAACATGGAGTAAGAAGTAAATTTCTTTAACCCTTCCTCAACACTTGGAACCTCTGTCCACTGTTAATTTTTTTTTTCTTTTAAGTGTAAGGGTGTTTCCCCTGACCTTGAGAAATGTCAATATTGGAAAGGCAGAGTTGGAAAGTACGGTGTAATGAGAAGAGCTCTCTAAGTGTAATGTCTTGTAGTAATTTGCTATGGTAGCTGAGGGGATACTACAAAGTAATCTTTCTACTAATATGTGAAAGACCAACCAATTCAATTGGTAAATTAGAGTGGCTTACATTTTTTGCCTTAAATATTTATTCTGTCTTCTAGTGTTAGTGCTCTTGCATGCAGATCACTGAAGTTCAGAGAATTTTTTCCGTTTCCAGTCACATTTGCGCACTCACTGCTGTTAATGCTTGGCATGAGAAGCTGTATCTGGCACATCTTAGTTCCTGTCATCTGCCTTGTCCAAACAGAGTATTTCATTACTTGTCCTCTAGGCAATTAATTTACTTCTCTTAATTCTTTGCAGCCTTACTTATCTTTGCAACTCCATTTTTACCTATGTTCTATCTGACTTTCAAAGAACAACGTCTGTCTCTGAAGGTAGAGAGATTTTTTTGTTTTGTTTTGTTTTCTTTTTTTGTCCATTGATTTTTGGAGTGTTTTTGCCATTGGATTACCTGCGGTAGGTAATTTCAGCAGTCAGACCTCCTTGGGTGGTTGTTTTATGGCCTCAAGGCAGCCACTTGTTCAGATTACTGCAGTATTAGCAGGATTTTCAAATCTTGCACCTACATCAAGCATAAACAAAAGCTGCAAGAGACTTTTGAGAAAAAGGCAATGTTTCCACTTAGATTCAGAGCACTAGAACTGGCAAAAGGATTATTATGAAACTCAGCTTTATCTCCCTCTCATTTCCTGTCAGGATATCTTAATGGCCAACACAATGTAGCAGGGGCTGCAGAATTTGCTTTCTCTTACCTGGTCTCAGATTTCCTCACGATTACTGCTGTTTCAGGAAAAAAAAAGGGCAAATGAAACTTAGCATGGATGGCTATTTCAAACACTTAAATACCATTGGGGAAGAACTGCATATACAGAGCTCTTCACTAGATCATGAAATCAAAGATGAGTGTAGGTTAACTGGGACACCTGATCCAATCCCACTGCTCAGAACAAGGCCAATTTGAATATATAGCTAAATATCAAACCTTGCATTAAAAGTATAGGCATAAAATTTTGGACAAATTCAGCACACTTATGTCCCCTGGTTCTGGTGAAGGCTTTGATCATTATCCTCATGCTTTGTCTTCCACAGAGGCAATAAATACTTCTACATCACTGGTGACTGCAATGATCACGCACAGTACTGGTCTTTCCCCAAGCCTTGAATTTTAGAGTAGAAGACATTTTCATGATGATCTGCCATTTCTCAGTCGTACTTTGCTTGGCCATAAACCTGATACAGTTTTACATCCAGGGGGAAAACAACATTAAAAGCTTTCAGAGTTTTCTGTTTTCCATTTTCTTTCTCTCTCTCTCTTTTTTTTTTTTTGAGTCAACCTCAGCTGAGAGCCTCCAGTTTTTGTTCTAAACTGTAGTAGAGGTGAGTCCAGCAATCTGAAGGTTCATAATGAGACTAATGGAATTTAGTTCCTTCAACCATAACTTCTCTTCAGGAATTTTCCTTCTGATGTGATAAGCTGGTTTGGTTTTCCTCAGAGTTCCACGAGAAGGGTTTCTAGACAGTAAACCTCCCAACAGTTTCTATGTGCTGTTCTTGTAAAATAATGATTCTTGCAAGAGATTGCTTTATCAGGTGATCCTTTCTTCTGGTTTTGGGTGTGATAAAACAGATTCCGAGGAAACGCTGCAAATTCAGGTGACTTGGAAAATGTTATTACAATTATAGAAAGGAGAGACTATCACTGAATGTTGAGATATATCTACTTTATATCAAGGCATCACCCAGAGAATAGTTTTTCAGTGGATCAGAATATTTTATTTTACAGCATCGCTATATTCTGGAAATAGCAGATATCTGGTGTTTTGCTCTCTAAACATGGTACTTCACCTGTTCAAATCTCTACTACAAAGTTGGGGGGAACTTTTGTCTCATTACTAACCAGTCAGCAGAGTTTGGAATGTTTAATGTTCACAGATTTATGTTTGGGTTTTTTTTTTTTCTGGACAGAGATCTCAATTTGCTGAGACAAATTTTAAACCAGGAATTTGTATCTAATGTAATAGTAAAAAATTACCTGTCCTCTAAATTGAAATCCTGCTGTAGTGGTTGCAGACTCCTGACATACCTTTATGCTGACAAATGAATATTGTATTTAGGTTGCAGAATCCATGCAGATTTGTAGGCTTTGAATTGCACTGAAATGGAAATTTGTCATCTGTTTTCCAATTTGTGCATTATAGCAATGATAAATATGTTTTAGTATGCTCTTACCTAGCATTTGGAGGTATGAAGTCCGAGTAATGATGGACTTTACCAACCCAAAAAGTTCTCTGTGAAGTTAAGTCAGTTCTCTGGGCAAGTGGTTAAAATTGGGAAGTGACATCCCAGGCATTGTGTGTTTACGTATCAGCTGCCCCATCCTGAGCTCTCTGTGGATGACCTGAACTTTTCATCATTTTAGAGCATGCATGATCAAGTCCAGTTTCTGTCTGCAAGAATTGGGACATCCCTAGACACTTGTTTGTTCTTGGGTGTTAGTGATTAGAGGAGTTTTTCCTTGAAATTTGTCTTTCTCTCCGGTTCTTTTGAGACAGAGTGGACATGTAGGGTGAATCTGAAACCTTTCGCTGGCATCCCCCTCATCTTGCTCAGACTTCCACTTCAAGCGAGAAACTTAATATGTTTTCTGTCATAAATCTTAATTTATGGGGTGAGATCACCCTTTACATTCTTTCACACAAGAAAAGTGTATGGGGGCATCCTTTCTTTTTTCAAATGATAGAACTCGACTTTTCATAACGTTATCAAAGGTGATTATGTTCACAGATCAAAATGTATGGCCATTTGCATACAAACACTTTCAAAATGTATAGCAGCTTATACTGATCCGCATGTGTGAGCTGGCAAAGGCGGAGCTGTTTCTGTCATCAGACCTTAAGCTTCAGCAGTGGCCTTGCTGAGAATTGTCTCCACTACTCATACATTAAATAGCTAGTTGGGGCTCTAGCCTTGCCTTTGCCAAGCACTGCTACTGCAGAGATGCCCACAGCTGATACAGCGTTTTGTAGGTTAGCTTTATATTTAATGTTTGTGTGAGAGACTCTAAAAATCGCTTCTAAATACTTGATACAAAGTGGGATTACTGTTTGGAATCACCCATGATATGAAGGTACATGTGAACTGTCACCAAAGAAAAGAGAGATTGTTTACTAGTGGCTGGAGTTCAGGATACATACATTCCATGTGTATGTTTGCTTCCTATCCTCCTTTCTCTCATGTTGTTCTTGACTCTTGCTGATGTACAGTTTAGTTGGGAAATACAAATGGTATTAGATAAGCTCCTTGTGCTCTCATGTGGTAAATATGCATGACCCCACCCTGTACCAGTACTTAGAAGAGAAAATGCCATGGTCTCAAGTGATAAGTAAACATACACGTGGACTGTTTGTCTTTTAATACTGGTTATGCAAACAACCTTTCTTTTTCCTTTCCCTAGGAACGTTATGTGGCAAGCCTAATGCCTTTGCAAAAATGCATATCACCATGGAAGGTAAGGAAATATAATTTGAATGAGCTGGTAATTAGAGAAAACAGTTATGGTATGCTAATGATTTCTTTTTTTCTTTCCATAGAGTCCACCACAGCTGAGGCAGTTTAGCCAAGATGACTTCATGAAGACACTGGAAAAAGCAGGACCACAGCTCACATCAGGTTTAAAAGGAGACTGGATAGGACTTTACAGGTCACTTCTTTCATCATCATAAAAAAATAAACTATATCAATAAAGACAAATGAATAAAATGTGTGCTATTTTTCTGAGCAAACTTATTACCAGTATTAATTTGAGTAATACTTGCTTTTAGAATATATGCTTTAATAGGACTTGATAGTGCCTAGTATACTTTACTCGCTTAAATCTGTTTCTCTGTAACCTGTTAATGGTTTTCATAAGATGCTGCTAACACTACAGGTCTCTGTATACTGGTATTATTTGTGGTTTTATTTCTGGTTCTAACTTGATTTCTCCTTACAATCAAACACAAAGATAAAAATGAGGCTATTTCAAACTGAGTCTGTGATCCTGATCTTGATTGTCTTTCATAGTCCTTTTCTTTACGTTGTTTTCTCAATCCTTGTCTTGATTAGTAGAAGCACCTGTTGTATTCCACTTCAGAATATTACATTTTTTGGAAGTAAACAGAGGAAGGGTTCTCAACCTCAAACATAATTACTTTACAGTTGATGACGTAGAAGACAGTGTGTTATCAAAATTGTAATTAAAATATAAAATGTATTTTGCTTTGGTGTTTTACCAGGCATTTTCTGAAATCGCCCAACTTCGATGGTTGGTTTAGGAGCCGGCAGAAAGAAATGACACACAAGTTGGAGGCCCTTCATTTAGAAGCACTCTGTAATGAGGTTAGAAAAACGTGTGCTTGCGATTATATTTATTATCTTGTAATAAAAAAAATATTCTCCCTCAAATCAGTTTTACTCCTGCTATTTTCATTGGTTGAACATAAAAATACTGACAATTTTGTCAAAGTGTGATCTAGCAAAACATGAATTTGGTAACCAAGTACAAGCTAGAACTAACGTAGGAAAAGAGAACAATATGAAATACAGATCACTCTTTTTATCTGTCATCATTTGTAAAATGTATCTGTAGTGCTTTTTTGTTTCATTGTGTGTTTTGAAATTGAATCCCCGCCCCCCGCCCCAAGTTTTTTCCTCTTACTTGACAATGTTAGTTCATTCAGCTTCCTTCCTTGGTGTTCCAACACATTTTTAGTTGTGATATAGTCTATAGCTTTGAAGGTATAAACTCAGTGAGTACCATAGAAAATTGACAACTAATTAGATATAGATAGTAATGAAGCCTACAACTGTTCCGTAGTAATTGAAAGCTGAGAACCGAAATCTGTTTATTGATATATAACAAAATGCCACATAAATGGTCTTATGTTGTAAGATCCATTCTTAAGAAGCTGATGTGGGTATCAGTACAATTTGAGTAGGAACAACGGATAAAGAAAGGTGTTATAAGAGGAAAAGAGACTGTACAGCTAAAAAGGGAATAGGCAGAACAAAATAATAAGTCAACCCCACAGCTTTGAAACAAACAAAAAAATTGTGCTGGTTATTTTAAAAAAGCCATTGATTTTTATCCCTTGCCTTGTCAATTCCCAAACAGTACATGGTAGCAACCCAAATAGGTTGTTCAAATAGAGCAGCCCAGATAATTTGCAGGGCAACAGCTAAGTCAATTATATCATGTAGAATGTATCCAGCTATATTGGACATAAACTTACTGCAGAAAAAAGGGAATGTGTCACAAATCAATTACTGACTCTGCTCCGTATTGGCTTTTTCTTTTGATCCAAGCGTTAACATCTTTCTGTATGCGAGGAAATACCTTTAACAGGTGAATAGTAAAGGGGTAGGGGAAGAGAAACTTCCATGAGAAGATTCACTTAATGAATATATTTTACTAGTTATTGACTAGGTGATCTCCTTTAATGCTCTAGAAACAAGAAGTGCTGCCTGGCACTATTTTAATATTTCATTGTGCTGGCAGATCTGATGTGGTAAACATTCATTGCCATTTTGCATTATAGATGCTATTTTTGAAACTAAGCCTGTTTGGCATGGTTATTTTTTTATTTGTTTGTATTGTGTTTGTGTCCTAGTCTCCTGTTTTGCTAAGTCCTGGGCAAACAAGCAAATAAAGCAGATTTTGCAATTCACAGTAGAGACAGTACATGAGTAAAATGAGTTTAGTAAATGGCATGAGAATAAAGAAAAGGAGAAGACCCATTCTGAACAGTAGGTGTAAATTAATACTACTTTTGAAAAATTATATATGTTGCCATAAATATTTCAATGCTTAATTTTTATTCTTTTAGAACTTGGTTTTCTGGACTCAGAAGCATACTGAAGTAGAAACGGTGGATCTTGTCTTAAAGTTAAAGAATAAACTGGTAAGTAACTGAATTGAACATGGCTCAAATTTACCTGACTTAACTAGTTAAAAGTATGACATAGCTGTGTTTACAAGTACTTAAATGAAAATATTCTTTATAAGATTTAGGTAGCTCAAGGAATCAGTCATTCAGGTTTTTTAAAACAAAACCAGTTCATTTAAGCCATGACTGAAGTTAGCTAGCTTCAAACATTGTCCAGCTATGTTGGAAGCATTCCACTGATCTTGTTTTTTTTAAAACTAGTTGGAACTCTGTGACTGATCTGAGTGGGAGCAAGGCTGAATCCTCAGGGAAGTGGAAAACCAAACTTTCTTGTGATACTGAAAGCCCAAATCAGTGTTAGCTCATGCTGTTGTGTGGTTGTTGAGGAAACCTGCTACTCTCCAAATTCCTACTCAGTTGGCAAATGAGGAACTAATTTTACAGATTCGCTGATATGTCACTTTGGTGTGTCTTGAGGTAAACTTGCACTTTTAGTAGAAAACATGTTTTATTGTACCTTTGCAGTTGCAGGCTGACAGAGAACAGCTTCCTGTGAAAACTGACACATTGAAAAAGCTGCAGACACACATCAATGATATTATACTAGCACTTCCAGATGACTTGCAGGACATCTTGCTCAAAACTGGCACAACATAATTTCTACTGGGCTTTTTTTGTGCAGAAAACAAAAGGCAAATGTAATTTCACAGAAGACAGTGGCTTACCAACTTCAGAACACAGCTCTAAATAGCCTATTAACACTACAAATGGACCGTACTAATAGTGTAACCCACTATACTATTTTTACAGTTTTTTCCACGTAATACCAATGCAACTAAAGGAATTCCTGTGTCTAATAACGTTTGAAATAAGTGCTCTTAAAGAAAAATCTGTGGGCATATGAAACTATACCACAGTATAGGACCACAGTGCAGTGCTGGCATTGCAGAATGTTTTCTACTTGGTGCTGCTGTACCCAGTCCTGTTCACTCAGGGGTAAGCAATATTGATCCTGTACTGCCCTGTTGGGGTAGTACCTGATTGCTTCTCTCTCTCTCTCTCTCTCTCTCTCACCGCCCCCCCCCGCCCCGAGTTTTCATCTAGTGATAAGCCTAACTGGCATATTATGTGACTTTGTCAGAATACATTATAGTTGACATATTTTACTGGTAAATCATGGCTTTCAAAACTGTTTCAGGGACAGCTGAAATAATCATATCGGTTCTTAACTTTCTTCCTTTCTCCTTCTTACCATCTTTCCAAAACCACATTAATTTAGCATCTTTAAAGAAGAGAGGGCAGCTGACAAAAATTTCCTGAAGAGAAGACTCCTCCATTCAATGTCAGTTGATTAGGGTGCTCTTACTCACATGCCTTAAATACAAAGTAATTGTATACTAATGGGTGGTTTTAAACTGCTGACATTCAAGATTTAAAGTGGATCACTAGTGTAAATGTAAGTATGCAGTGTTCATCACAGGAAATAAACACAGTGGTGTTCTAACATGGATTTTAAAATCAGTGATTTCAGTAGAGTTAGCTGATATACAGCCTGTTTCAGTTGGAGATCATAGCAGTCAGCTCCTGTTACAAATACTTTATTTTTTTACTTTATTTTTTTTACTTAAACTAGTAGGGTGTTTGAGGAGGTAGTGGGGCTGGAGGGAGAAGATGCTGGCTTCAGCTGAAAAAAGCCTATGGAAAAGTCAAACTGTGGCAAGAAAAGATTGTAGCATGAAATTATTCTCAGTATATGCATATAGCAGACATGCATAAAGAGTAATTTCCTCTTGCATATTAAGCAACAAGAATGTGATGTTTATCTTCTTGAACAAGTTTCAGTGGTATATAAGAACACAGCTGCTCCACATGCAGTGTTGTATTTTTGACCAGCACACCAGTTTCAAGTAGAATAAACTTAATGCTATAGTGTACACAGAGCGTACACTTTTATATGTCAAGTGGATCACAGTTCAAAAAAACAAAAAACAAAACTGCTTTTAAGTGCTTTGATAGAATTTTTAAAAACTTGCAACATAATCTTGCTATAACAATATTCTTTTGTATGATAAATATTTCATGCCATCTTTCTAAAAATGTCTTATTTAGATATAAGGTGTCACAATGGTATTTTTATGAAAATATGTATTTTAATACTGTTATGGTTTGTATACAGTTACTCATGACCAAAAGTGTAATATATCTATTACGTTACTTAAACTACACCACTTCAGCATTAATTTCCAACTTGCAGTTTTTTTGCACACCCTGATGAATAGCATTTCTAATCCAGAAATTAATAAGTGGCCATTCTTATACTAAATTTATCTTAAATATTTAACCTGGAGCACTGTGTAGTTTCTTGGAACCATGTAAACTCGTAACAACTATGATAACTATCACATGACTGCAAATATGTATTTTTGTAAAAGAAAATAAAGGAGTTGATTTTTATTTATTTCTTTGGAAGTTACATCATTTAGATGGTGGGTGTGATTTGTTTTTTGTTTTTCCCCTCTCCTGTGTAAGCAAAGCTGTTCAGCAGCTTGCAGAGACTGCTGCTTAGTCTGACTTTATGAAGCTGTACCCCTTAGGTGACCAGAAATACCTGATGAGGTGGTGTAGTGTGATCATGCATCATGACTGTAATGTGACAGAGCTGCAGGATCTTCAAGAAATCAAATGGCAGGGACTGGCTTCCCAAGAAATTTTATCCAATCTTCAGTCTATTTGCTGTACACATCTGAGAGGCCCTTGAGAAACATGATAGTGGGAAGTAGACTGCAAGCAAAGCGCAATTCAGGTTTCTTTAATGGAGTTGGTGTTAGTTTAAATCCCTGAAAAACTAGATGCTTAAACAGAATTCGGATCTTGTTCAAAAGAAAGGCAAAAAGGAAAGTTATACTAGGTGGTTTGCTGTCTTTGTCAGTGACTTGTAATGCTTTTTAGAAATGGTGGTTCAAAAGGACCTTAACCCTTAGCTTCATGTCTAGGCAAAATGTAGTCACTGAAACAGGAATGGTCTTTCCTCATTGCAGGGTCCTGATCTTGTTGTGTCTCCCTGCAGTCCTTTTACACTGAGCATGCATATTTTGACTAGGGATGCTTCAGCCGTTCATGGTGTTACAGCAGAGGAATTGCATCAGCTGCATAAAGTAGTTGCCAGCTTGGTGAGCTGAATTTTCCCACCCCTGTTTTTTGTTTTTGTTTTGTGGTTTTTTTAAACTTAATGTGCTTAAAATATAGGCAAAGAGCTTGTACTAACCCTCATTCATCTGAGGCTTGATGGCTAAAGGACAGTGCAGAAAACCTACTAGTTTCAGTAACTTTGCTTCAGTCTTCATCTGCCTTTAAAAATATATATATATGTATGTATACACATAGGCATATTGTTTGGACCAGAATGTGAAGAAGTCCCAAAGTGAAGGAGAGAATACCTGGATAATTAGAAAAGGTCCTAGAAAAGAGGTAGCAGCTGTTTAGTAAAGAAATGCTAATGATAAAGGGCCCCAAATAGGTCATCAGAAGAAGTTGACAGCCTCAGTTAGTGTAACAGGAGAGTAAACTGGACATGCGTAAGTGCTGGGACTTCTCAAGTTTCTTTTAAACGAAGTAAAAATAATGCCCAGAACAAAAACATGAGCTAAAGTGTAGTCAAATACGGTAAAGGTGCAGCTAGTCCTTTAACAGTGTTGACATCCATGATCTGAATACAGGAGAATGAGTCAAAAGTAGTATAGTTATGTATGATTATACAGAGCAACCACTTAGTTAATGTTGAAACATTGATTAATGACAATCATTTCTAAAGCAAATGTTTGTTAGATTGTACTCAAACAACTGAAATAATGAAAGGCATCTATTAATGACCTAGCTATAATAAGAATATGCTGGCTTGGAAGTCTAGAAAGTAACTTATTTCAAAAAAAGAGTCCTTCAAATGTCTTCTCCTCAGCTAAGTTCAGGGAAGCTTAACTTTCCTGGCCAAAAAAAGGTGTAAATACCAAGAGCTCTGAAGAGAAAATGGGTAAGTATTGGAAGCCTAGAACTAGACTCCTATCAGGAAATTGAAATGTAGTAGTTGATCAGCATCATATTAACATCTTGGGCACTAACTGGATTAAGTTAAGGTATGACTTATTTTAAAGTTAAATTTTATAAAAAATATAACTTCCAACCTTAATTTAAAACCAGACTTTTGGTTCAAAAGAAAGTAATTAAAACTTGAATAGGATCTCAACATGACACATAACAAAAGAACAGCCTAAGTTGAGTCCTGCTCACAGTCGCCTACTGTTAGGATCTGTTCAGGACTGTCTCTTGATCAAGACCATTAAATGGTCAAAAGAGAATAAGTAAATAGCTGCTGTTTGAAAAATGCTAGCTATTGTGTACTGACATCGTTTCTAATTAACACAAGTAGGCTATAACTGCCTTTTTAGGGCTTTTGATTGAACGAATGCTTCCTTGGGGTAGGGAGCTCAGTCACTTCAGTATTAAATGCAGCTCATCTTATGTTGCCTGAAATTTAATTATTACCATACTACAGCATTTTTACAGTAGCTGTGAAAGAAGCTGTTACAGCTGGTTGTGAAATCAAACACCCCTCTCAGAAAAATGGCATGCTTCTGATAAACCATGGCTGTTTCAGTTTTATTCCCGTATTACTTCCCTCTCTCTCTCTCTCTCTGCTGCTGCTTCCTGGCCAAGACACCGTATGCTGTTCTGGTGCCAAGACCGTGCTGCTTCGTCTTGACTCTGCAGCCTCTGGGACTCTGCGGAGGGTCCAGGCCATAGAAACAATGGGAGGGGGGGAAATCCTGCAGTCATCAGTGTTCCTGTGATAAGAGTTTGGGTTGTTTTTAATTATCTAGCTCTGCTGCTACTAGGGTGCATTTGTGGGCTCCCTGAAGCCCCTACTCACTCTTGCTCTCAGCTGTCCTTTGGCCCTTCAGGAGAAGAGCCTGCCGGCTGTCCCGCCTCAGCTTAAGCACAGCGAGCGCATGAGCTGCAGTGAGGTGGAGCACTGGGCGTTGGGCGTGAGCCAGGGGCGCGCGGGGAGGGGCCCTCCGGCCCCGGCCGGCCGGTGTTGCAGGTCTGGGCCTTGGCCTCCGCCTCGGGAGC